AGATAATGTATTTGCAAGTCTACGAATATTTATGAAATATTATTAACATTTCTTGTCTTCCGTTGTAAATCAACTGTTAAACAAAAACGCTTAACAAAAAACTTTTGCCTTTGGATATACATGTAACAACAGGTATGCATCAACAGCACTAGATCTATAAGTATAACCATCAAAACAAAATCGTCCTTTCTTGTCTAAATAAAAGATTTGTGAAATATTGCATGCAGATTTCTGTTTTTAAATCAACCGTCCGGACGCACAACCTGTCCGGATACACAAACTACAGACGAATTCAGGTACACTGTAACACTTTAGCCTACTCTTTACATGAATTTGATCAACAGGTGTGATTCAAGATTCAGACTAGATCTAAGTCTAAGACCTGATCGTTTTTCATGACATGCAATGATGCATTGGTATTCCACCATGGGCCAAACGACGGATTCAACTTACCGCTGCTTTTCCCCGACATCTCGAACGAGTGGTTACCAAAATCCAAATGGCAAATCTCGATCCCGTCACAAAGATGGTGTAATTGTCCTTTAAAACTGGTTCCTGACAGACGTGGTCTTGAACAGGACAAAATCAGTGGAAGGTTTACTAAGTTCCTCTCCAGAGATCAGCAACATCCTTTCCAAGATAACGAGAGATCAATGACATTGCATTCCGAAAGAGAGAACCGTCTATTGTCAATTTGCAAATCTCGGGCTCTCCGCATTGATTTCATTCATTGCATCGAGCGCCTATACGTTGTGCACGCCTACACTATAGCGAGCAAGCTAATTGAGTACCCCGTTGGCATTCTGCGGCTGAGGTCCAGTAAAGTCATAGGTCCAGTGCGTATTAACATTTGCATAGCCACCGAAAGATGGCAGTATACAAGAAATAACTAGCTCGATAATAGTGCCGAGTGGGATTGTTGGTCATGGGGAAGAAGAAGACAAAATTTAGAGGAGGAAAAAGAAGAAGAAGAAGAAGAAGAAAGAAAAGAACAGCAACAACAGCAGCAGGAAGGAGAAGAAACAAGAAGAAGAACAAGAACAAGAACAAGAAGAACAAAAAGATCAAGAAGTTCAATAAGAACAAGAAGAGGAAGAGGAAGAAGAAGAAGAAGAAGAGGATGAAGAGGAGGAGAAGAAAAAACAGAAGACAAAGAATGAGGAGGAAGAGAATTATAAGAACAAATAAGAATTAAACAAAGAAAAAGAAGACGACAATGACGGAGGAAGAGAATAAGTGCAAAGAGGAGAAGGAGGAGGGGTGAAAACATTCTGATGTTTGAAGGGAAATTTTTTGTGTGGGTACAAAGCTAAAATAAATGTTATCGCTCTATAGTTATATCCTTTACCATCTGAATGCAATGTTGAGAATAAATGGTGAAAGATGTTCCTGCCAACACTTCACAAATACCCGTCTCTTGTTTTATTACATTCGGTTAAACGAAAACATCACCACAATAATAAGATGCTAAGTAAAAACATAACCACAAAAAAAAAAGGATCAGACAACTCTTAAATCAAAATTTATTAATGTTTTAATCATATGAAGATGGCTATTATGGAAACAAAATTGCAACTTTGTCGTAAAAGCTGTGATATCATATTATCATGCTTTTAATTTCCCTGTTAATTTCTAATTTGTCCACACGAACCTGATTTCGTTGTGCTTTTGCCCTGATTAAATTAAAAACAAAATAGTATTTTTGGTATCCATATTATCATGCCTACATACAAATTTTTTCTTTTATAAAAACCCAAAAGGGTATATTATATTATATTTGAAGAGTTCAGCAGAACAGCCATTCTTGTTTGTTCATGAAAGAAAAACAGTTCCATTGAAGGGATAGTTGAGTTTTGGTATAGAGAGTAGTAGTTTTGGTCAAACTAAACCAAAACCTGCACCATTACATTACAAACCACCATGCTCAAAAAGTATACCAAAATTCCAAACGACTTTGTGATATTCCTGTCAATAATTACGAAGAGCCGTTAAACCACATGAGGGCATTCACTCTAAAAAGTCATTGGTTTCAAGTTTCAACCATTTTTAATAATAATATTGTGCATGGTATGTTTTGGTAACATAATGACTAAATAGAGAGATCATCAACAAGTATTTAAAAACATCTGTTTTGAAAGTGTAAGCATTTTTTGGTCTTTCATTAACCTTCAAAATTATCGAAAATTTGTGGGGCTCCACAAATATTAGAAATGGTTATATTTATGGATATTTCAGCCGTATCTGAACCGATTTTGATCAAACAAAGATGATTTTGTCATTTAAATTGTATGCTCTTTCAAATTTAACACTCGGCAGTTTTTCATTATCTAACAAAAGTATTTTGTGTAATACCTTCTGTACCAAACCTCAACTATACAACTGGCTACATAATACAACATTTTGCTCACTATTCAACTTGGGGCAAAGGCACAGAGAAATCAGAATCGTGGTGGTGGGGGCGGGGGGGGGGGGGGGTTAGAATATTAAGATCACACACCACCATTGGTGAATAGAGACCCACCCGGTCACATGCTTCATGACAATACTGCTAATGTGTCTCCATGAGATAGCGATATTCATAATTATCATTGACATGTTCATAACTATTTTTTTTAATGGTAGTCTGATTTTTCTTCTACTTTTACAATCAGTTTCTCTGATTTTCTCTAATTTGGGGATTTGTTAAAGTTTTGATCAGCGAGTCTAAATGTTTTGCCCTTCCTGAGGCAAAGGTCTATTACACCACTGTGCTACAGACAATAAAGTAAAAGAAAAGTAATCAAGATTTAACAAAAAGGAGAAAAAAGAATCCTCTCCAGAATTCTGTTTCCAACTCCCTTTCCTTCACAAGATTTTCTCTTCATCCACTCATCTCTTCTCTACCTCTCTGATTCATTTCTCATCTCATTTTCAGTCCCCTGCTCGTCTCTCTCTCTTTCTCTCACCCTCTCTCTTACACACACACACACACACACACTCTCTCTCTCTCTCTCTCTCCCTCCTTCCCCATCCCACCCTCTGTCTGTCTGTCTCTCGCTCATCCCCTTTTACACACTCACACACACACTACCTCTCTCCTTCCTTCCCTCCCCATCACACCCTCTGTCTGTCTCCCTCCTCCCTATCTGTTTGCCCCCCCCCCATCTCTCTCTCTCTCTCTCTCTCCCTCTGACTATTTCTCTTTCACATACTTCTCTCAATGTTCTATGTCTCTCTGTCCGTCATGATTAACTTTTTCATTTCATCTCTAGTATCTCTATAACTCCCAAACAATACAGAATTATATTTTCGTTAGATTCATCACATTTCTATTTTTAAAAACATTGAATACAATAATTTACAATCAATGCAATATATTAATTGATATAAAATAGTATATATGAATTTAACACAAAATAACTATCAGAGTAAAACAATGGTATAGCCTAACCTCGACACTAACTGGTGCTCACGAAAACTTGGGCACCCAAAATAAAAGACCAGGGCCGTTTCATAAAGCTTGTCATTATTAGTAAATGCTCAATATCTATGACAAATTTGCTCCTAGCTAATCTAATGCCATGATTTCAGTAGCTTATAACAGTTATTGTAACTTGTTATTGATAATGTTATTGAAAACGATTTTTTATGAAACGGTCCAGACTCCAGGGCATCGTTTCGCAAAACCGCCTTAAGTACAAGTTCACCTACATTCCATTAAAAACAGTGCTAATTGGATTTGTCGGCAAACTTGTACTTATGACAGTTGTGTGAAACGCTGACCTGACCCTCAAAATCTATAACTGTCCATATAGGGCTCCTGGGTACCAGAGGTAAAAATCTCAATCTGAACCCCTTTAAAAAAAATGTTTGTGTGGAGCCCTGGTTAAGCCATGCAGGGGCAAGTTGATGGTTAGAATGCATCCCACAAGTGTCATCCACATGAAACCCATAGGATTTGCCTCCTTGATCAATAATAAAAAGCACCCAAGTCATTCACAAAAATTGTTGTTCGTTTAACCTTAGCCCCCCCCCCCCCTCTTGCAAATCCATGCTCCCCTCCTAAAAAAGAAAGAAAAATGAGGTAAAGAAACAGCACTTTGACCTTTAAACTCAAAAGTTCATGACTGAATTCAGTTTAAATTTATTCTCTGTGAATACTGAGTAACAAAGTTTTCTTCCAGAGCAACTATTATAGTTTCAAACAATCATCTCTGCAATGATTTTTTTTTTTTTACAATAGCCTCTTAAATGTATTACTCATATGACATAGTTGAATTTAGCCACATAGTTTTGCAGGAATTAAATGAACCATGACAAAGTAAGACATCAAAAATAAGATTTATGAGCAGCAGAGCAATGGGTGATTGGCAATGTGAAATTCATTAAATTAAAAAAAAAATATGCATATGATTTGCACAAATAATGATGACCATGAAATTGAAAAGTTTTAGGCAAGACAGATGTTTCACATAATCTCACGCAATCACCATCTCCATAATCACCATCTTTTATACTGTTACTGATGGACATTTCATTTTGATTAGAACCTTCAGAGGTATAGAAAAACAAAAGGCTAATATTATAGCCCCCTCCCCTCCGGCCCCCTACCCTGCAAGAAAAATTACATTTTTACATTGCAATATCTCATCCTTCAAACTTAGGAGAGGAAAAGAGGCGTTCGAGCCAAACATTTGTTTCTGTTGGGAGCCAGAAGGGTGTTAACCTGTATGCTTTAATACAGAGTTAACACTCTTCTGGCTTTGAACACATGATAAGCATGTAGTCTATCATAATTCTAAATTTTGAGTTGGATGATGACCCTTTCATTGAACAATTGACCTTTTCACCCTTAACACTGAAGGGTTGACCTCTTGACCCACCCTCACCTTTCTGAGGAGACACAATAGAAGAGCTTGCCTGGTTCATGTTCCTTTGTTATGTGACGCATAGACTACTCCACATAACATGATGTCATCAAGTTGATAGCTAGTTTTTAGGTCGACAACTTCCGAATTTCAAAGCTTCAGCTTTCAAGTTCTGTTGCTAGAGGCTAACACAAGTTATGTAACACATACATATGCGTGTTATTGTAATCTATGGCTTATAAACTTTCCAATGATATATAATTCATCTATTTCAATAGGGACCTTAAAGTATAAGCTCAAAATTGTTTTCTCGGCCCCCAAGCCCCTTGTTAATTCCGATACTCGGTTCTTAGGATATTAAATGCACTAAAGGATTTCAGGTTCTACAAGCTTCCTCCTATATATCTCTAAGATATAAATCACTAAACTGTGGATCAAATGGTTTGTTGTTCTATATGTAGCCCGTGCCATGCCACAGCAATTACATCCCTTGGAAAGACATCAAACTACATCTGCCACTACCAACCCAGGTGTAGTTCGTCATTAACATGGGACCCGGTAGTAAGTAAATACCTTGAATGCTTGCAGTAATAATAATAAAAATAATAACAACATTTATAATGAGCACATATCCACCCCAAGAGATGCTCAAGGCGCCTAACAAGGTAAGTTTTCTCGGTCTACATGTCACAGCACTCACATCCTTTGGAAAGACTATTATCTACATTTGCCACTCTCCATCCAGGTACAGTAACATGGGACTTGGTAGTAGGTAATTCCTTTAATGCTGGTAGTACCTGCCACAACACTCACATCCTTTGGAAAGACATCAATCTACATTTGCCACTCTCCATCCAAGTGTAGCAACATGGGAACAGGCAGCAATTCCTGGCATGCTTTTGGTATGGTACAGTGTGTATCTTAGGGTAGGTTGAATGGAGCTTGGGTCACGATAGTAGGTGCTTTATGCATCCATCCACTGGGAAGAATATAGGCACAATAAATGTAGCTATCATTATCACTATTCAATCTCATTCTCACAAAGATATTTATCAGTAATTGCAGGTACGGTGCCCATGCACTCGAAGGTACAATACTCTGCAAAATACATATTGTGCATACACGGTACCGAACATTAATGTATCTTTTTTCTCCCAAAAGCTGCGGCTTTCCATTTGACCAAAAGAAGCGCTAACTACCTGTTCTCATCTCCAAACTGCACCACAGAAGCTTTTAACGCAATTCAACAACATACAGGCTGATGCGATAGCAAATAATGAGACACAACGATGACTGGTGTAACTTTTAGTTACAGTGCAAGACCACACTTAATGCTGTGAGGGATACAGAAGTAACTCTATCCTTATAGTGTTCTAGTCATCCCCTATCGTTCCCTGTGGGGGGTCATTATCACAGCAGTCATCTTTGTGCTTGTTGTAGTTTTGCTTCTGTTGCTTGCGGCACATCTTGCAGTCGTCATCCGATTCTCCTTCACTGCTCGACGAACTCTCTCCAAACATCCTCGGTTTATTGTAGATGCAGCAACCTTAAATCAATCAATCAAAAGATTTCGAAATAAAAACTGTATCATTGTAATCTGTGCCACACTGTATTTCCCTCAAAGGGGATTTTTACCAAAGGATTCTACTTTGCTTCTATGTTTTAAGTGTACTGCTACTATATAAGGGTGAAAAATAGATGAAATATGAGATCACTAAACCAAGCGAATCTCAAATTGGCATTTTGGTCAGTGGATTGTGACGTAGTGATGGGACAACTCTCAGGTTTGTCGTGTAGAAACATTTCATTGATTTCTCGTATTTTTTCTTCAAACTTATTTTTCTTCAAACTAATTAAGTGCATTTTCACTTACTCTCCTGAAGTCATAAATTATAAACAATCGAACAAATTTTTTTTTTCATGTGCTGAAACAAATGAGAAAGTAGTCCAGCACTTTGTCACAATGACATTACCAATTCAGCCAATACTACCTAAGTGCCCATACATATAGTGATTACAACTTTCAAAACTTCATAACTCTCTCACTTTTTGTTCAATTTCATTCCAACTTTTACCAGTCTGCTTCTCTGATTCTTCTGCTTTCTTTTAGAGTAGTTGTCTGTTAAGGTTAGATTTCCCTTAAAATACCTTGGACTTTCCCAGAATGATAGTAAACGTGTCATAGCAGAGTGGTTTAAGGACTCAACATGAAATGCAAAGGTCGTGGGTTTGATTTGGACACTAATGTCCTTTAGCAAGGCATTAATCTACATTTGCCACTCCATACCCAGGAGACAAATGGGGACCAGGTAGGATGACGAAAGCATTTTGTGCGTTAGTAATAGCCATATGCCCTCACGGTGACCATGCGATAGGAATACTCCCCAGGGAGCGGAGATGGTGCACATTGTGCGTGAATGATTCCGACGACCGGGGTAATAATATCTGTAAAGCGTTTTAATAGAGACGGTGTTCTGTTTAAAGTGCTATATTAATCCAGACTATTATTATCATTATTATTAACCAGGGCAGGTTACTTACATTTTGATTTCTTCTTGCCCATGTGCTCATTATCCACCACACCCGTCTTCCAGACCACCTTCTTGTCCGATTTAGGTTTGCGTAGTTTGAGCGTCACTGACGGCTGTAGGGAGTCAATGAAAAAAAGACATTTTAATTATTTGACCTGACATTTCCTCTGGACATTCCAAAGAGAATGTCATCATTAATCCTGCCTTCAAACACACAAAAATGTATAGTATGGCTATTCAGAAACGGTATAGCTATACAAAGAAAATTATCATCATTTTCAAGTTAAATGTTAGCTGCACAGATGTAGGGCTTCCCACCATACATGGTGTAAGAAAAATAAACACAGAAGTGCAACTTTTCGGTGGTAGTGCAGTGGTCTCGTAACCTGATGGTTCTAGGTTCAAAACAAGGTCAATGCGAAGGTCATCCTCATAACCATTAATACCAAGTCCCTCAGAAAGGACTTAAAGCCGTTGATCTCCAGGCTAGCGTTTCTCGAAACCGTCATAACTACAAGTTCACCGACATCCCATTGAAACGTGTGTTAAACTTAATACACACTTAATACAAAACTGTGCGCCATCTACAGGTTCGTAATGGCGTTATCACAGTTTTTCCTTCATTATCATTTTGCCTTCGGCGTAGACTAGAAGGGATGAGATTGATTTAGATGACTCCATGCGCAGCGAGAGTTTAACACGGCTTGCAAGATTTTCAACATGGATGTCGATTTTGACCCATAATTTCCTTAAAAGGGACCATTAAACGGATTATTTCAGTCAAGTTAGTAAGTGGAACCGATGTATTATAGCCTAGGCCTAATTTACAATTGGATATACACGAAGTAAAATGACATTTTGGGGGATTTTGGGGGCATAACAATACGACCTGAAATGGCCTTGGCGTTATCAAGGGAATGTGTATAGACGGTTTCCGTCTCTAAAGAGAGAGCCGACCCTACCCCAATAAGAGGCTAACGAACGAAAGAGACGGAAAATTCGGTCTACAGCGAGGTATGTTCCGTTTACTGTACACACAATTGTCATGATAAAAAAATGCAACAAAAAACATTATTATCATCTCTATTATCAGTAGTCTAGGCCTAGGGAGGATGGCCAACATTGGAGACTATGAAAGTACATGTAGGCCCTAGTCTAGGTCTCTATAGACTCTAATTTGAGAGTTTTGTAATAACTTTTGGTACTGGTAGACCTACTTGTACAACGTTTCTTTCACAATGCAATCGCATGACCAGAAGTGGTCTTTATCTTTAAGCAATCGAGGAGGAGTATGACAAGTCATTGTCGGCAATCCTATACTTTAGTGTGTTTTATTATTTTGGGTTTCTAACTTCAGTTAACAGCTCTAGCTACGTGCATATCATAGGGTTAGGGTTAGGGTTAGGGTTAGGATAAGGGTTAGGCCGATGAAAGTTGATCTCATGGTTCTCGTCAGCGCCCGCATCAAATTTTGCTCGCGCACCAAAAAAGTTCAACACTCATCGCTGAAGAAATTCCCGCGTCAAAAAGTCCAGATATGAAATTGCCGCCTCAAAAAATCAACAACATTTTCGATTGGCTGCCGCGCGTGGCCCATGTGACACGCGTCCATGGCGATGTCTGCCAAGTCGATCGCTGATTGGTCTAAAGTAGCGGGCGGCATAATATGCCGCCCGCTACTTTAGCTGCCTATCGCGTAGGTCAGGAATAGTCTGCGGCTAGACACGGGGCGAATGTTTTGCCTCACGCCGTACTCCGGCTTCCCGCTACCGTACCGGGTGGGAGCTAACGCGTATTAAACTGTTCAGTGCATTGTGTACGTTGCCCAATATACTAGCTCAGGACAGCAATTCATCTGTACTATTTATCGATCGCTTTTGGCCGCACTGTCAGTCAAAATGATTCTTTCACTTTGTGTGACTCAGGGCAGCAGACTGCTTGTCAAGTGGAAGATAGTTTGTGTAGATAGTTTTGATGAAACCTTGACATTTGAAAGGTTTTTTGAGTAAAGACGAACAAAGAAAGATGTATATCGCTATATCATCAAGTTCATAATTTAATACCAGTATAATAAAACAGGGCCTTAAGTTTAAGTCAGAAACGAGACAGTATAAATGAAAATGAAATGAAATGAAGATGGTGTCACAGAAACCCAAATATCACAGAAAATTTGGAAGAAATAGTCATTGGAGTATGATATTGGTGTAAGAGCGTTACATGTATAATGTACAAGACTCGATACCCTTGACAAGTTCTATTGGTTTGTATATGAAAGATGAATTTGGATCAAAACTCATTCAAATTCCAAATATGCCCGCGAGAACATGAAATCAAAGTCAGATGAAAGATGAAAGTTGATCTAAATCCCTCATCAAAATCTCAACAATGCCTGACGAGAACCATGAGATCAACTTTCATCGGCCTTAGGGTAGGGTTAGGATTAGGGTTAGGGTAGGGTTAGGATTACGGTTAGGGTAGGGTTAGGATTAGGGTTAGGGTAGGGTTAGGGTTAGGGTTAGGTTTAGGTTTAGGGTTAAGTTAGGGTTAGGGTTAGGGTTAAACTGAAGTTAGAAACCCAAAATAATAAAACACACTTAAGTATAGGATAACCTCATTGTCAATTGCAAATCAAATATTAGGTAGGCTACGTGCTACACAGACGTAGAATAATAAGCGTTTGGTCCCAATAGTCCATACACTTGGAGATAATTTTCACTACGGTCCCATACATTGAAAAACAGCGAGGGTTCGGGAAAACTTCCTATCTAATTTGAAAAATCGTTTACTTAGTAATACTTACTGACGCCCTCGTTTCTTCTGTGGCTGTACGTGTAGAAGTTTGTGCTAACGTTGTTCTTGTAGTCATCTTGGTGATAGATAAAGAGCTTCCGAAGGGTAAACAGGGGATGTTTAGAAAATACTAATTTAGATTCAGCAGCGCAGTTAATTCTGTTTATATTCGTCGCGTAACGTCATTTCAGCTGGTCGACTTGGATAGTGACGTCAGCATCAGAATTAGAAGTCACCAGAATGAGCAGGGACGATGACCCTATGCTGGGTACGTGCAGGGGTCGCACAACCCCAACGGAGTTTTTCTAAGGATTCTTTACATGGGTCTTCTCACAACCTTCAAAGGGTTCATTATTAGACCGATGGTTCATTCATGACACCAACGATACAGATTAACTCTGAGGGACCACTTTCGGGAAATTTTAGGGCCTATTGGAGGGGGGGGGGGGGGGGGGGGGGGGGGGAGGGCGGGGAATGGTCTCGATAGTTTTTTTTTAAAGGGGCACATTCGAGAAAGAGAAATAAAAAAAAAAAAACAGAAATCTGTTGCTACAGGGTGGGGGAAAAGTTTGACAGTAGGCCTATATCTAGTCATGGACATGGTAATGAGTACGGATAAGCTTTGAAAAGGGGCACTCTCCATATTCTTCTCTTCGTGATTTTCTTTTTCTTCTTTTCCTTTCTTTCCTCCTTTTTTTTTTTGCCCTATAAAAAATACTATTTCCACACAAAGACAAGCTCTGCATTTAAGAGAATTTCTCAATCTTCTTTAAATTTCGAGTTAATTTATGATAACCTTACGATTACAGATTTTGTATCCTAAAATGCTTTATCGACCTTTGATATCATATATAATTGTCACCTTCTATGTTTTATGGCAAATTCAATTTGTTATTAATCTTATGTAACCAGTTTTATTCATGTTTTGATTGAGTTTTAGCTATAATAAAATTATTTGAATTCAATTGAATTGAAGTGAGCTTTCTAGCCACTTTGCAAAGAATTCTAAAATGTAGCATACAGTTTGATGCATTGATTTCCATACGCTAAAAGAAACCAATGGTTTGACGAGTAACTTATCATCCCGTTTCTCAAGTTAAGTAGTGTTTTGTTTATGTTCTTGATTATAAATCCCCTGAAGGGAGGGAGGGGGGGGGGGGGTACTGACATATAAAGACATACGGGGGTGTGCCACTCTAATGGGTCACATTTTCAGCAAAAAATCCCTAAACGTGGCCCCATTTTTAACAAAAATATTCCTAAACATGGGTCCGTCTTTTCAAATTTCAAAAGATTTCGGAACACCCGAAAATTGCGAAAGATGGGCATTACTTCGAGGAAATTACCCCCCCCCCCCAAAGTCCATTAAAAATGGGTAGGGGTTTCAAGGCTTCAGTGGCATACTCCCGTCAAAATCAAATTTGAGAACCCCCCCCCCCCCCCCCCCCCCCCCACCGGTTTAAGTCAATTCAAAGTGATTTTGGAACAAGGAAGTGCGCTATGATCTTGAAATAATTAGGAAGCAAGAGAAACTTTAATTAATTGCATACTAAATAACCATAAAATGAGAACTCTGGGACTCTAGTTGAGATTTCATTTTGAAGAAAACATCTTACACACATATCCAGGTGAATTTGGGACTTTGTGGTTAAATGCTAGATGCATTTTTGCTTGTACCTCAATGAAAGGTAATGATACTCCAAGCTTCAGTTGAGTGTGAAAGCTAAATAGCGCCAGCTTGTGATGATATATGATATAAAGTCACTAAACAATATTAACATGCAGATTATTTTATGTATTGATTTTGTTATTGTTTGTTATTATAATTTTTGTTATTGTTTGTGAAATGCAATGGAGAAAATAAAATATCATTGAAAAAAAAATGTAAACAGTTCTCTAACATGCAAACATTTAACATAACAAAACAACAACAACGGGAATATGGTTACTGGGGGAGGAGCAATGGCGGATCCAGGGGGGGGGGGGGGGTGATTTTTCAAATTTTCGAAGGCCCCCCAACAAAAATTAGTGCTAATTACACTATGAACATGACGGACAAAGAAAGTGGACAAAATATACAATTCCTCATTCTACCCTCAACAATTGCTATTCTAGACAAGGGAACATCCCTTTACTGCTATTATGTAAAAATCTGTATTACAGGTGTCACATGCATATTCACCATAATAGCAGTGAAGGGATGTTCCTTTGTCTACCACATCAATTGTTGAGGGTAGAATGAGGAACTGTATATTTTGTTCATAGTGTTACCCCCCCCCCCCCCCCCCCCACCCACTGAGCGAAATATTGGCCGGCACGATTTTCAAATTTCAGCACACTAAATTTCAAATTGATTTCAAATTTGCCCCCCCCCCTAAGAAATCCTGGATCCGCGCCTGGGGAGGGGTCTCGCTGTGCATCCCACGTGCGCTCCATGTATAGTGTATTCATGTTTAAATGCTTTTATGTATTTAATTGTATTATTAATGTTTTAATTCATGTTTTTGTTTTAATGTTTATGATTTTGTTTGTACCGTGTACGTGGAGGCCTCCGTTGGTACTTTTAACTGAATCGCACTACCCACCACTGTTTTATCAATAAATAAAACATAAACAAATACAAATCGAATTCAAATTTATATTCAGGATTCAGATTTAGATTCAGATTCAGATTCAAGATAAAGCTTCAGATTCAATATTTAGATTGAGATTCAGATTCAAGTTTTATTTTATATATATATAATATACAGAAGCTTGTTACAAATTAGTGTTACATACAATTCAAACAAAGGCATGAACATGATATTGCCTGCCTGTGGACCAGAAGGGTGTTGAGTAAATGCTATTAAAACGAGAACACAAGGACACCCTACCAGCTATCAGCAGACAGTTTATAGCATGAACACTATTCTTAGTCGCATAATGAATGTATTCATATATAAATACAGTCAAACCTGTCTATAGCAACCACCCAAGGGAAACACAAACGTGGCCTTTGTAGACAGGTGGTCTTTGTAGACAGGTTCCTTTGGTACATGATTCAATGAGAAACCATTTTCAAGGGAAACAACAAATGTGGCCTTTGTAGACAGGTGGTCACTAAAGCAGGTTTGACTGTAGTAAAATTTAAAAAAAAAATACCAATACCGATTACAAACAAGCGAACAAGAAAAATGGGTAATGGTCTAAATGACACTTATTAGCAAGGACAAGTGGCACTTAGAAACGAGTTTAAATTTGTCACTTTTTGGAAGGGAAAGAGTGCACTATTAGAAGGAAAAGGAGCACATATGGAATTTTGAAGTGATTTGGGGGAGGGGGAGGGGGAGCACTTATCAGATTTTATTGGGGGGCTCTTATCAGAACGAGAAAAAAGGCGCTTGTCGGAGCGGAAAACAGGAATTTATCAGAAGGAAAAGGGCATTTATCACAAGGGGAAAGGGGAATTTTTCAACTTAGGAAAAATGCACCTATCCTAAATAAAATGAAAATAGTTTTTCCGTATAAAAAGGGGCACATATCAGAAAGTGAAAGAGGGCACTTATTAGAAAGCCAAAGGTACACATTTACGAATTAAATTCTCATTGTTCAAAATGGCAGTTATCATTATTAAAAAAGGGGCACCTATCATAGGTAAAAAAAGGGGGCACTTTGGGGGCTTTGTGCCCTTAACCCCCCCCCCTTCCTCCTGGGAGCGCCACCTCTGCTGAGGGTTGATACAAATTGAGCGTTAAAAGGTGTGAGAAGTTGACAAAGTTGCTCGTCAATAATTTAACGTCATTGTCAAAAATCTTTAATTGCTGGTGATAACATTCTTATTATAATACATTTCAAACGAAACTTAGACATAATTGTAATTTTGGAGAAGAATAAACAAGCAGCCATAGTGAGATATACCTTTCTTTTCGATTGTAAAAGTGAGAATAATTTAAATGCTCACCTGCTCTGCTCTGCCCAAAAAGAATTGGATACAATTCTCGACAACTATATAAAAAAAAAGCTACATATACAATAGTTGATGGGTAAAATCTACTCCTAATTGGGTAAAATTTACTTATCCGACTAACATGTATATATGTTCCCGTTAAACTTTTTTTTAAAGATATCCATTCAATCTTTTATAATTGTAATAAGTATTATTATTATATACATGTATATGGAATGGTTTGCGTACGATGTGAATGATTTCCATCAATCATGTTTTTGCTGATTTTCACCCCCCCCCCTCCCGTCCCATATTGAAAAACTGGCTACGCCGTTGGATTACCCTCTTCTTCAAGAGTTTGAATAATGTACGAAATAAGCTGCCAAGAAGTTATAGCATTACGAGAATTAACCTTTCGTTTGCCTTATGTGCCCATTCGCACATAATGCTCATTTGCCACTCGTGCAGAATGGCACAAAAAACAGACAACAAATAACAGAAGAATTTCTTTGTCCAACACGAAAGTTTTGCAGAATTACCCATTTTTGACATTGATTAGCTACGTGACAATCATTCTAAAACATGTGCAGATAAATTTTACAATGAAGACATTCGAATATTCTCGAATCCCTTAGCTATAACCATGGACCTATTACGTAATAGGTCTATGGTATTACTATTCCATCATTATATGTAGCCGTGAAACAACATCCAACCATAGATGTCCCAGTGTTCACAATGCTCTCCAAAATAAAATTCCCGGCAGATGCAGCGGAATCCATCGAGCTCCTCCATGCATGTTCCTCCATAATGACACACCTGAAAATCACACGCTGGTGAAATGAAAAGAATGGTAAAAGGGAAAGTTGATGATGGAGGAGAGTGGGAGAAAGGAGTTTGTATAGGCAGGCACGTAGCCACGGGGGGGGGGGGGGGGCACGTGCCCCCAAACAAATTTCCAAGATTGATTGAACTTTTTTTTTTACCCCTTTTTGACCTCGATCGATTTCATGTATGTGCCCCCCCCCAAAAAAAAAAACACATCAAACTCTGGCTACGTGCCTGTGTATAGGAGGAGGAGAGGAAGAATTATTATTAGTACTAGTAGTAGTAGTAGTTGTAGAAGTATACTAGTAGTAGTAGTAGAAGTAATAGTAGTAGAAGTAGTAGTAGAAGAGGTAGTATTAGTATTGTTTATTATCAGTAGTAGTAGTAGTAGTAGTAGTAGGATGAACAGGAGAGGGAGGCGGAGAAGGAGGATGACGATAAAGAAAAACAAGAAGAAAAAGAAGTAGA